GAGTTCGTTCCAGAGGGTCGGAGCAGCCACAGAGAAGGCTCTCCTCCGGGTAGTCGCCAGTCGACACTGGCTGGATGATGGAATTCGGAGGAGGCCTAATCTATGGGATCTTATTGGTCTAGTGGAGGTAATTGGCAGTAGGCGGTCTCTCAAGAGCTAGTAACATGATGCAGCTGTCCCATACGCATAAGAGCCTCTTTCCCCATCATAGGAAGTAGTTGTTCCATTCAGACTCCACTTACTGTAGAATGCAGTAGCCAGTTCTGGGCATCCCTTTTCAGAATAACAGAGTTGAAGGGGACCTTGAAATCACCTGATCAACCAGGAGATCCCCTTCCATTCAAAGTGGAAGTCTGTCAAGTTGATGAGAGTTTATGAAGAACAAGTAAAGAATGGAGGTGTATTTAGTCTGTAGAAGATATTATTGGGGGGGGGGATAGGGTAGCAGTCTTTACATATCTGTATATAAGATACGTGACATAAAACTCATGTCACAAAGTTGTTAAGTTCTAAAAACTTGTAGAGAGCTAGGGAAAGATCCCTAGAATCTTTAGAAGTATTGCACAATACTTGTTTAGTTAATTGGTATTTTTAACTATTTAAATGATGAATCTTAGATACAAGATTACAATCAAATTATCATAATTAAAAGAAACGGCATAATGTTTTTTAAACTGCATATAGTAGAATTTTCCCTTTAGAATAGGTTTTCAAAAATTTAAATCCGATATGGCAATAATATAAATGTTTTTATTCTTGTTTCTAAATATTCCTTTTCTTCCATGAAAATTCATCTATTTCTACAGTATATCTGAACCTGGTTTCCAGCAGGAGATTTGAATTAAATTGGTTGAATTGAAAATAAAAAAGTGTACAAAAATATTTTAAATACCAGAAAATGTATTTCTAATCTTTCTTGGTTTATAGCCCATTTTCTCAGATTTTTCATTTGTTAACCTGAGAAATAAAGAGTTTATCAAGTTGCAGATTAATGAATAATAACATTATAGGGAAATGAAATCCTTAAAGTATATAATGTTATATAATAACAGTTGCTATTCATAAAACATTAGGTGTGATAGTGATATTAGACAACTTATTAACACATATGATAAAAATCTCTGTTTAATCTGTTTTGCTTTCCAGAAGCTGAATAGAATTTCTACCTCTCCAGCCATTCCCCTTGACTGATGATTTTCTTCTAAATAGAATATTAATATCATTGTCCTGATGGTACTAATATTTAGGAAAATGCTATAGTCTGCAAAAGTCATAAAACACTGTAATGAATCTTTTAGATAAATGTATTTATATAAACTTGGAATTGAGTTTTTCAGGCAGAAGAACAGCTTCAGTATGTAATTAACTATTTTGAGATCGAAATATTTTAATCCTATCACAGTTGTTTAATATTCTGTGAGCAGGAAGGAAATTTTTTTAAAATTCTACGAAAAAACCCCAACTCAAGCGTAATTACCAACATGCTTTAAAACAATAAAGAAGCTAGACTTGATAACAAACAAATCTTTCATTTCTGGAAACTACTCTGCTGCTAGATTTATTTAGCATTAAGTTATCTTTAAATTATTTTATTGATATGATTGAACAATCAGTCTAGTTAATAAATACAAAAGGGTTGTGATTGTGCCCACCATTAACTGTTTTCACTGTGCTTCTTGTGATATCTATTTATTTTTCATTTGTATTATCATATCTTATATCATGTCAGAGGTTTTCTTGCCACTCCTATGGTAAAGTTGTACTCTATTAATAATCAAACTCTTGTACAATTACATTTTTAGTCGACTTCCTAAATTCTCCCCAATGACATTTTTTGATCTGCAATTTCTTTAACTTTTAAGATTAAAAGTTAATTATTTTGATAGAGTTGTTATGCTACATATCTGATAATGTATTTATTTAAAGTTTTCAAATTATTAATGTTTTGAAGAGAAACAATTAGTTCAGGGAAAATTCGTTCTCCATATTGAATAGTACTAGAATCATGATTACAAGAGATGGACATACATTACCTTAGTCCTATGAATTCGTAATCACACGGATGGAAGCTTAAGTCATCGTTATCTTAGTTCTATGTCAAGATGGTTCCCAGGCCTGTTCTGAAGCTGCCTTCTCAAGTAGAAGTGAAAGCTACTTGGTGACTTACATTTGAAGTCCAGCACAGTGTTCTGTTTGTACCCTAAAGCTTCTGACCAACACTCTCAAATGAAAAATGTTCTGTTGTGTATACATGTCTCGTTTTGTTGCTTTCCATTGTGTATTTGAAAAACTGTCCTCACATTTCAACTTAATTCCTTCACACCTTAATGTAACACTTGTTTGTGTATACTAATATTACTGATTATTTCTTGTTTCAGCTATTTGTACAAGAATGAAATCCAGTCAATTGACAGGCAAGCATTTAAAGGACTTGCCTCTCTAGAACAACTGTAAGTGCCTTTTCTCTCCTGTGCTGTCATCTCTTTGGTTGCCTCAGAGAAAAAGCGCACGTTTCCCAGCATTTCCTGTCTGCATGCCTTCTTGCATGATTGCACGGGATGGGTTTATGGTCCAGCGTGGTTGCAATCCCTGGCATGCAGAAAAGCATATTTGTCAAGTATGTCATTTCTGTGTTTACGTTTTATTTGATATATTATTTCTCCTTCAAGACAATCATGTGGCAGTTTCCAAAGGCAAGCATAATTTTAGCACCAAAGATAAATATTTGTGCATAAGAATTAGGGCTCCTATTTCTACAAACAATTTATAGTTTTGATAAATAGAGCATAGAGAATAGATACATAAATGAGCAAAATCCAGACAAATACTCCACTCTCTACGGCTTACGTATTCGGCTTATTCCATTAGTCATTCAAATGGTTGAACTGTTTCTGGATATCGAGGGAGTAGGAACTTGTGTTGAAAAGATAATTATACCCTGTAATTTTTAGATTCAATTATAATATTGCAAATAGTTAGCTTAGAAAAAAAGCAGGCCAACAATATTATCTTCCTACCTCAAGATAGTCACAGGTAATAGGAATAGCAGTTTGCACACAAAATTCTTTAGAGTTCATTAAAAGGACTTGATTCCACATTGCTGATTTCTGTCATTTAGTGCCATCCCAATAAAAATGTTTAACTTAATAATATATAGTATATATGTTGCTTATTTGAACGAACTGCTGCTTCAAGGAAGGCTTTGCCTTTGAAGTGCCCATATTAGTGGGCATAAGCAAACGCCTGTATATTTTTTGACTCTTACTGAAAAAAAGAGAGCTGTGATTCTAGGGGTCTGAAGCTACAGCGACGACATGAACATCGTAACATTTTTGAGCAAGTCATTTACATCATTTAGAAAAATAAATTTTAGACCCTGCGGAATATATTCTACCCAATTAGCTGTATTTTAAAATGGTTCCATGTACATTGATTGGCACTTCTAATTCTGATCACTTCAACATAGTGAGAGCAATGGATGGTCAGAATTGGTATATCATAAAACTGACCAGGTTTCCTTCTAATCCATCCCAATTACTCTGAAAATAAGCAGGCACATTCCCAGACTTTCCCTCTTATCTTCCATCTTCTGGTTGCTAAACCAGCCAAGGAATAATCATAGATATTTCATTTGGAAATTATACCCAAACCATTTTTTGGGGTATATATTTTTTACATTACTGTTATTTCTTAAAACGTGGAGTCTACATTTGCACAAAATAAGATTGTTATTAGCATATGTGTTTTGAAGGGTTTCATAGTTTGCATAGGACTTATGTGCATTTTAATAAACTCTATCATGGTGCAGACATCCTATTTTTTCTTGCTTGGGTCCATCCAGTAGCATGATCAATAAACCATCTGTTGCTTAACATATTATCCTACTGTAGCATCCTTTTAAACTCTCTTTGCAAGCTAGAATCATAGAATGATCCTTTGCTGACAAACCTTGGCTTTTGGGGAACCATAAAGCAGGACTTGGCATGAGTCGAAGCAAGCAATTTCCTTTTCCTTGTGCATTCTCCAAAAGAGCCAAATAAGAATGATTCCTTGTAATACTGCATGTAAATGCATCACACAATGTAAATTGAAGAAATATTCCAGCATTAAAGTCTTCCTAAATTTGGTATAGTTTATGGATATAAAAATATATTGTTATTAGTTAACAGAATGGCCATGGCTATGTTTTTAAGCACAAGTGGTTTAACTCCAGTGACATTCTCATGAGGTTGATCTCAGATCTATCAACCTCATTTCCTTTGTAATATAATCCCAGACACTTAATTCTGGCATGGACTGTTTGATACTTAGTTTAAAGGAAAAAGCAGTGTATGATTTTTGCTACACTTGAAAAATATGCTCGTTACTCAAAGTAAATCCCCCTATTTTTCCCCATTTGGATTTTTTCAGGTTTTGGGAAATAATAATACAATCTTTAAGTATGCATGATAGTACTTTAAATTGCATGTAAGATAGAAAGTTTCAGAAACAGCACTGATAGAATCTGTCTTTATTCTGTTGAATATTTACTGCCCAAGGAATGTTTTGATAGTCATTGTTTTCAATTATTACAAAACTTCCTTCCTGAGTTTATTCACTTTCATTTAATAATCATGGAATAAATGAAGTAAATGCATAAATGAGGTTGATTGTAAAGGCAAATGTTCTTTGTGAATCTTTTGTTTTCAAAGTGTCTGAATTCAAAACTTTACCATAAGAAAGTTGCTGCTTATTTTGACCTCTTCATCATTCCTTCCCTCCTACAATTTTCAGGAAGATACCAATGAAGAAGCCAAATTGAAATTAATATAATATATCACTTTTCTTCCCCTCTGTCACAGCAGCTTTATATGGTAACAGGAATTTAATGATTTATTTTGAATCTCATCCTCAGTTCAGAAGTGTGCAAATATTTGCTTCCTAACATGTACCTCAGGTTGTGGTTTCTGATCTTAAGGCCGTTTAATGAACCCTCAATTTCCCCTTACATCTTCTACACTTCCGGTGTAGCTATGGGGGAACTCAAATAAAGAAACTAGTAAAAAAATCTGGTAAATCTGAATCTAATTTCAGAATTAGTATAGAGATGACAAAAAATGTGTCACATGGAGGACTTTATTAAGATTACGCCACCCCATCTCATCTACTTCACTGAGTACGTATTTTCTTTTATTAAAATAGAAGGTATTTCTGTTGTGGAACTTCTGCTTGCAGCCTGATGAAATGCTATCTTGGTTTGCCAGAGAAGTTGGCGGAGACATACCTCTTATAATAGTTACGGCAGGATACAACAGGCAGAGGGGAACGGCAAGCTGACCTTTCCTTGTCCCCCTGTGGAAACTTGCAAATTCTCCCATCAGTAGCAAGCCCTGAAGAAAACTGATTAACTAGTAATATAGATGTAAAGATTGAATGGAAGTAATTAAGCATCCTTTCTAGACTTTGCTTCTGTAAGCATCCCTGAATTTGTGTTATTTCAGTCACACAGATTTGGAAATAGATATTTGCTGTGGATAACATTTAGTTCACTCTTTTGCGTATCTTTCCTTACTGTGAGCAAATTTTCATTATATTTTTTTACTTTGGATTTACCTTTTTCGCTCTTCTGAGGAGAGGAAACTAATATCTACCAGACTTGCAACCAATATCACTTAAGTCAGTGTTTCTCAACCTTGGCAACTTGAAGATGTCCGGACTTCAACTCCCAGAATTCCCCAGCCAAGTCCGGACATCTTCAAGTTGCCAAGGTTGAGAAACACTGACTTAAGTGACAGTACTAGGAAGAGACTTTTGAAGGCTAAACAATGCTCCTCTTTTACCTGTTCAGGTGTGTCCACAGATGTGGTATGTTCATTTCAGCTTCTTTTCCTAGACTTTTGGACTTCCTCACAGGGAATAGAAAGAGTTGGGATTTTATATCTGATTGTTTAAATGCCAGAAGGATCCTAAGGGGATTCTGGTTCCTACTAGCTAAGAACCTCTGGTTTCTGAGGCAACCTAGGGTAAATGTGAACACAATGGCCTTTTAGACATTAGTGTTCAACCTAGTGAGATTGGGAACAAGAAAAGCAGAGCTTAAAACATTTGGGGGTGGGACAAGTTATTGACCCTCCCCTTCCATGCTTTTTCCACATATTTTCCCATCTTGTCTGGGTATAATATCTAAAATTATCATCATAGCCACCAAAATAGGAACATAGCTCTTCATCCCATAGAGCTGAACTGCAATTCATAGTTTATATTCCATATTCTGCTTTATAGCATAGCAATAGCACTTAGACTTATATATACCACTTCATAGTGCTTTAATGCACTCTCTGAGCAGTTTACAGTGGCAGCCTATTGTCCCCAACAACCTCGATCCTCATCCTCGGAAGGATGGAAGGCTGAGTCAACTTTTGAGCCGGTCAGGATTGAACTCCCGGCCATGGGCGGAGTTAACTTGCAATGTTGCATTGTAATCATTGTGCCACCATGGCTCGATTATTTTCCTATACTTGATTATTTTTTCTTGTTTTGAATATGTAAATGTTTCTTATGTATAATTCACGTTCTGTTCAATGAAGAATTGGGTTTATATATCTAAACATATTTAAGCTGAAACTTTCTGACTAGAGAGGAAATGTACACCTGATTCACAATGCTAACCCTTAGTTGGTTTTGGCTTAACCCTTTGTGGGAAGGCAGCCAGGTGTAATTTGAGAACCGTGGTTTCATGGGTTAACCTGTTGCATTAACTCAACTAATTGGACTTTATTCAATAATAATTAACACCGATAATGTGATATGGAATCCCAGTCATACAATTAAATTTCTTATTTGTTTTATCTCTATTTTTAAATATAAGCTGGGGATAGAAATCTCAATGGGCAGAATATATTTATCAACCATTAAAATTATTCTTACACAGTATATAAATTGCTAATATAACTATAGGTTCACTTTCACCATTATTTTTAGTGTGTAACCTTAATTCTCAAGCTATTGGTAATGTTTCTTAATTATAATAAATTTGTGCAGAATGATATAAATATGAGGTAGTCTTTATATGTTATCACTGATTTTCAGGCAAAAGCTGAGGTTAGGATCTAACTATTTGAACATTTTTAAAAATAGGTTTTAATTTGCATTATTATCATCATCATATTATTTCTTTTTCTATATCCTCTTATTTTTTCTCTCTCTAACTTTTTAACAGATATCTGCACTTTAACCAGATTGAAACATTGGAGCCAGAATCATTCACTCATCTTCCCAAACTTGAAAGATTGTAAGTGTTTTTCTTTTTCATTTTCTTTTACCCATATGTTACCTTTTTTTTTTTACCAAGTAGCGCTATTTCCATATAACACTTGAAAACATTAAAATTTCTGCTCAAACTTGGCTTAGATCTAAGCTTTCAGGATCTATGCAGATGTATTTTTAATAGTAATTTTATTAAAGATTACAATTAGAAAAACAAAAACTTACAGAAACTGAAAACTTGGATGAATAAAAAGAAAACTAGAATATGTGGAAAAGAAAGAAATTAGAAAGAGAACAAGAAAAGAAAGAAAAATAAGAATAAGCTAAAGAAAAAGGAAATATATAAAAATGACTTTTCCCCTTCATCACAAGTGTAAACAATTTTAATAACATATCATCTTCTGTTAAAATATAGCACTTGATCTCTTCTTTCCATATCCCATCTCTGCATCCTCATATTAAGCCTTGATCAAATTCAACAACTGTACAGTCCTTTCTTTTACTTCCAACAATCTTAATCTCTTTTAATATAGTATTATTATTTATTAAAATTTTATACCATCCATCTTCCCTGTAAGATGACTCTGGGCAGTTTACAGATTATAAAAAGATAAATAGGAAAGTAATAAAAATATGACTATGCAAAATGTACAATAAAATGGGACTAAGGGACGGGCAGCACAAGGATGAGGCCTCCTCAGCTGGACAAACACCTCCAGTGGTGAGCGGCCCCTGAGACCCCTAGACCAACCAGCAAAACCAGATTTTAATACCCTTCCGGAAAGCCAAAAGAGCGGGAGCAGTTCTCACTTCTGGTTATGTTATTAGAATCTCTTATTTATATGCCAAAAATAATAACAGATATTGTAGATTAAACAATACTCCTAATCAGTCAAAATAGCCATTAACTTTCACACCAGAAGAAATTACCTATTAACCATAATCAAACACGGTTCCCATTAATTTTCTTCTTCTACCCAGCAATCATTAAACCCCACGCCATCCATAGAATTCTAAAATTTGCTTTCTCTCAAATCCCTTGTCAATTTAATCCAATTTTATCATTTGTAGTTTTAATCTAGCCTCACCAGTCAATCTCTTATTTTAGTTTACATAAATAATCCATATAATGTTATAGAACTTGCTATCTTTTTATCCCTCCTCACAAAATTCTGCAAAACTTTAACAAGTCTCTTTTGTAAGTTATTTAAAACACTCTTGGTTTTTTGTTTGTGTATCCCTTTTAATTATAAAGACATTAGCCGATTTCTGTTGTACGTCTAGTGTAACATGTTTTTCCATGACATTTTTGAATCCACTTTGAATTCCATTGCAATCTTGTTAAGTAGAACATGTTCTTCTTCCATAACATCTTTCAGACACGGCCTCACCATAGAGGCAGATGCTATTAAAATTAACTTCTAAAATATCCTTCGATGTGTTCAATGTTAAAATACTTTACTTCATTCTGTAATTGTAAGTCGAGTAAGTATTCTTCTTCTTTAATTATAATCTTTACTTCCCTCTAGTTCCCGCTAGTCTCCAACATTTAAAATCTTACTTTAAAAAAAAAAGTTAAAAACAAAAGCATTTTCCCATAGGAAGCTTTCTTTATAATTAATTCCAAAATTTCATTTCAAATTTATCACAATGCTTAGACTGTTTGCAACTTTTAGAAATCAAAGTTTTAATTGCCCTTTTGCTGTTTATTAAAATAAAATTATTTAAAGTAAGGATCACAGAAAATATAGCTAGTATTGTAAAATGTGTCAATCTAAAGGTTTCTAATAGCTGAAAAGTTGTTAGCAAGCAGTTTCCAAAAGTGATTTAAAAAGGAAGTGTGTGAATTTAGTATCCTTTCAAAGAGATGACTGCATTTTCACCACGATGGGTATTGCATTGTCTCCCAGGGCTCTAAACCTGCCAGAGACGGATGTGTTGTGGTCTTGTCCAGAGGAGCAACCCTCTGGAGCACTTGTGGCGGATCTCAGTTCTTCCCTTTGTTCCGAGAGGAATTATTAAAGAGATGGTTTACTCACCATCTCATCATTCTTCTGCAGTTGTCTGCTTTTCGCTGAACCATCTTCAGTCCTCCAGTTCTTTCCCAGAAACCCGTATTCTATTTGGATCTAGACCTACCCTTACTTGAGTGAAAGATAGTGATGTAAAGTGCAAAGTTTCACTTAAAACATACAATGCTGGTTACGTCTTTCTTATGATCTTACCATCTGGGTAACTGAATTGTTTGTATTTATTTATGTGTTAATTTATTCAGACTACCCAGTACCCTATTCAGTTCCTCTGATTCTACATGGTAAAGGAATCCATGATTGTGGCCCAAGACTTACCTTACTCTTATTAGTAGACTCTATCAAATTAGTAAGGTAAAGGTTCCCCTTGCACATATGTGCTAGCCATTCCCGACTCTAGGGGGCAGTGCTCATCTCCATTTCAAGAGCCAGCACTGTCCAAAGACATCTCCGTAGTCATGTGGACGGCATGACTAAACATCGAAGGCGCATGGAACACTGTCAAATTAGTACCCAGTTTAAAGTCATTGCTTGCCAGAAGGTCCTGGGACACTGCAACCGTCATAAATATGAATCCTTTACCAAGCATCTGAATTTTGATCGCGTGACCTTGGGGATGCTGCAATGGTTGTAAGTGTGAAAAAAAGTTCCTTGTAACTTTGGACAGTCACTAAATCAACTGTTGTAAGTCGAGGACTAACTGTGCACTCGTTTACAATTAACTAGAACATGCTACAGTTCTAACTGTTCTGAATGAATAAAAACAATAATGTAGCTTTGTAAATCAAAAAAGTTATTTTCTCAACTAAAGCTCTCTACACATTTGTGGTGAAGCCCATTGAATTTAGTAAATTTAGCAGGAGTTCTTATTATTAGCATAACAGTTTAAGCAGGAAGGTACGTTCCTTGTTTATATGAATGTGATCCTATATAACAAGAGACCTTGGTTTTCTTTAGTATCAAATTTTTCATTTTTAAATTCATTTTTTTCAACAGATTTTTACACAACAATAGAATTTCTCATTTAATTCCTGGGACATTTAGTAATTTGGAATCCATGAAACGTCTGTGAGTAAACAAAAATCTTTAAACTTTGCACTTGGTATTTTAAACATTTGTTTTATGAAACATCACATTTTGTTTTCCTTATCATCTATTATTCACTCAAAGTTCCTGATAATTTTGGAATTGGTCGTGTTTATTCTATTGCCTCTGAACATGCAGCTTTTTCTGGAGTTCACGATTACACGCATTTAAAATAGTTGGATTGAACAGAAGCATCCTAGCTATAAACATGTTTCCATGTCTCCTTTTTTTGTTTACGATGATCTGTTCAAAAATATTTCAACAAGGAAGACATTTCCAGCCTTGAAGCCTTATTTTGTACTTGCTGGAAGTGTTCCAAAAAATGGAAGAAGCATTTCAGTTTTATTCCAAATTTGTTTTGTTTTGATTTTATAAGGTCAGGAAACAGTGGTAAAAATTGTCAGGTTGGAGTAGGGTGGAATGTCTCAGCCTCAGTAGGCTTTTCACAGCTCCGATCACAAAATGTAAATGGTAGGGATGAGATTATTATTATTATTATTTTTTTTCAGTATGATTCAATTCAATTTAGGTGCTGCCTGATTCCAGACAGACTTTGGGCAGCCCACAATAAACAGATAGGAAGAAGACAAGTAAACAAAAGGAGATCTGGCCACTTGGCATCAAACCATCCACCACGCGGTCCATCCATCCTAATACAAATCCTTGGAGAAGGTCCAGCTCTTCAAAGCCTTCTGGAACATCATCCTGATGAGAGCCAGATGGTCTCCAGAGCGATCTTTGTTCCAGAGGGCATGTGCCATAACAGAGATGGCACACCTTCCTTCTCTCCTTTCCTGAAGTTTGGAAAGTGACTGAAATTTTCCTTGGGGTAGCATTTACTACCTACACACGTATTTTAATATGGCACAGGCTTTGCTTTCTAATATCCCCAATCCTAATCCAGAAAAGAAAGCCACGACCAAAGGAACTGGATTCTGTTTTCACATGCATCTGATTTGTAAGCTGACGTAAGTCTTTTGGGACTTGGCAGCATACAAACACAATGAAGTAACTACATTTTGTACGTCCTGGCTTTTGAGTTTTTCTGTTCTTCAGTGACTAGGAGGTATTGTAATGTGGTTAATAATATGACTGCATCTCATAGTTTCCTAAACAAGAGTCATAGAACAAACATGTGCAGTGCTGAGCCTTGTAAGTAGAAACAGTGACGATTTCTTGTTTTATCCAGACGTCTGGATTCCAATGCACTTCACTGTGACTGTGAAATATTATGGCTGGCAGAGCTGTTAAAAACATACGCCGAATCTGGCCATGCGCAGGCTGCAGCCACATGTGAATATCCAAGGAGGATCCAGGGAAGGTCTGTGGCCACAATAACACCAGAAGAACTTAACTGTGGTGAGATTGCTTTAAAGTTATGGATATGAAAGAGATTATATATTTTAGAGCAGGGATCTGCAACCTTCACAACGTTTAAGACTTGTGCACTTCAATTCCCAGAATTCCTCAGCCAGGAAGTCCACAAGTCTTAAAGTTGCCACGGTTTTAGACCATTGTTTTAGAGCCTGTCTTTAAAATGCAAGTTATACATATATAACATGTATGTGTGTGAGTAAATAAATATAAAAATCAACAACTCATTAAGTCTTTTGATGCCAGATGGGAGAAGACTACCGAATGTCTTTTGGGCAAGGTAAGTCCTCGCTTGGTTATCACAATTGAGACCAGCAGCTCTGTTGCTAAGTGGACCATGATGGGCTTACAAACGTCACTTCCTATTCAATTATTAAATCCCACAGTCGTTAAGTGAGACATCACTCCCTAACCCTAACCCAACTTCTCTGTTGACTCTGCTTCTCAGAAGCTGGTTTTGAAGTAAGCAGTTGCAATCCTAAGTCTGAAGGACACTCTAGCAGCCATAAATGCAATCTTGGTTTTTGTTTTGTTTTTTACACTTTGAATGGCCACAGCAGTCGGTAAGCGAGGACTACCAGTATAAAGGCTATACTGGAAAGGAAGGCATTTTTCTAGAGGAGGTTTGCTGCTTGTGTTTTAATCCGTTTACGACACTACATTTTCCTATGATAGCAGCTTTTAACATTAAAAAGTCATAATAATTCAGAAGCGCTTAGGCGGAGAAAATTCCAAGCACCATTAAGTGGTTGCTTTTGGAATCTGGGGATAGAAGAGGGATGTTTTCTCTTTCTCTTTTAACTTCTGAACAGTGTTTTTATATTATGAAAATATTCCATTGTGCCTTGTGCAAAAGCTCCTTCTCAGCAGCGATATCATTAAAGAAGAAATAATGTAATGAAAAATCAAGAATTGTTGGGAGGTTTTTTTTCTCCCCGCGCTTTAATACTAAAAATAAACATTTTGTTACAATGTGTCATGATTTATGATTTATTCTATAAAGCTAAGTACTCATCTAGGTCCAGAAGCTCTGATAATATTCAAGGATTACGGAAAATCTGAAATTGGGCAACTGGATACTTTTCTACGGAATTGTATACATTGGCATATTCCAATGTTTATACTAATTATCACACCAATGAGAAACAGTGATTGATATCCTACTTTAAAATTAAGAACTAAACTGCTTTTAAATCCCAATTTTATAGAGCTTTCTTTTCATATGCTTTGTTGATAAATCCAGAGAGGCCAAGAATTACATCAGAGCCTCAGGATGTGGACGTAACCTCAGGGAATACCGTCTACTTCACTTGCAGAGCTGAAGGAAATCCCAAACCAGAAATCATTTGGCTTCGCAACAAGTAAGATTGTTTTAAAAAGCTTGTGTAAAATAATGGTTCTGATGCTGTATTTGCGTGGCGCCTTCTGGACAAAACTGTTTTCACCTTTTTTTCCCCTCGGTTTGAACATACTCGGTATTGAAAAGTGGTAATGCTACTCTTTCCTTTCCTTCTCCATAGTAATGAACTCAGTATGAAAGCAGATTCTCGATTAAACTTGCTTGATGATGGGACTTTAATGATTCAGAATACGCAAGAGACAGATCAAGGCATTTACCAATGCATGGCAAAAAATGTAGCCGGAGAAGTTAAAACTCAAGAAGTTACTCTGCGATACTTTGGTTCACCAGGTAGGAAGATTTAATAATGCCAACCTTTTAAAAAAAATCTGTGTTTCCTGTTCAAAAGAGCTCTTTGCTACTTATTTAGATTTTTCTCCCACCTTTTTTTATAAAAAAATGTTTGATCAAGGCAGTGTACATATTTTTTTCTCACATAACAAACTGTGGGATTGGATTATGCGGGGAGAAAGAGAATGTCAGCCTGAGTCAGCCAGACGGCTTTCATGCCCAAGGGAAGATTGGAACTCAGACGCCCAGATTCTCTCCCATCACCTTATCCCCACTATACTACCCTGGCATTGCATGTGCCGGTATAAGAGGCCTACAGATAAATTGTGAGATAGTTCAAAATAGCATAGCAAAAAAATATTTTATTGTAATGTCCTTATGAATCATAGAACCCCTATAATGGTACTTAAGGCCAATTAAATTAAGATACAAGGAGGAACAAATACCTTTGCTTTAATTGTGGAATAAGTTATTTTCTTTTCACTCTTACATCACTTTTACTGGATTTGAGTCAGCTACAAAGGAATACTTTTAGAGAAAATCGTAATAGAAGTAAGATATCATCTTATTTCTTCTGCCAAACTACAGTATATCAGACTGCTGAGTTTCTTGTGCATGATGAGCAAACCTAATTTGCATTCCATAATGTTGTAGCAAATGCAGTTGTTATTTTAAAACATTTCCCCTTTTTGATGCTCTGTTTAATGTGGCAAAAATAACTGTACTTGTTCAGAGTTTCCTAACCTTGGGAGCTTTAAGGAGTGTGGACTTCAACTCCCAGAATTCCCTAGCCATCTTAAGTTTGATAATCAGTGGAAAGTATTATAGACATGCTCTCTCTTTAAACAGCTCGGCCAAGTTTTGTGATTCATCCACAAAACACAGAAGTTCTGGTTGGAGAAAGTGTCACCCTGGAATGTAGTGCAGCTGGGCACCCCCAGCCACGCATCACGTGGACAAAGGGTGACAGAACACCTCTGCCAAACGACCCACGGATCACCATCACTCCATCAGGGGGGCTTTATATCCAAAACGTGGAGCAGGAAGAGGCTGGCGAATATACCTGCTTTGCAACCAACAGTCTCGATAGCATCCATGCAACCGCCTTCATCATTGTGCAAGGTAGGCAGAACTTTAAAAGGTGGTTTGGGCTAGAAGTTTATTCTGACCTGCAAATCATTTAACATTTTTAAAGGATACAAACAGGATTTTCCCCAAATGGAGTTCGTATTTCCAATGTCATCCCATATTAATCAGCTAATATTTGGAAAGTAGAATTGCATATTAGCAGCTTTGATAATGACCTAATGCTTCTTTGAATGATTGATAAGTATTTCATAGCCCAGGTGGCGCAGTGGTTAAATGCAGCACTGCAGGCTACTTCAGCTGACTGCAGTTCTGCAGTTCAGCGGTTCTAATCTCACCGGCTCAGGGTTGACTCAGCCTTCCATCCTTCCGAGGTGGGTAAAATGAGGACCCAGATTATTGTTGGGGGCAATATGCTGACTCTGTAAACCGCTTAGAGAGGGCTGAAAGCCCTATAAAGCGGTATATAAGTCTAACTGCTATTGCTATATACCATTATTATCTTACAAATATATTTGTATATTATCTGTGTTGTGATTATGTTGTTTTCTTCATAATATAATTTGACTTTTTTAAAAAGAAAAGAAGGTCAGGTATTATGAATCCAAAGAAGAGTTCTACTCTGTTGAGTAACACCTTTACTTTGTATTTTTGTTTTCATTTATTTTTCATCCAAAGTCCCAAGCGGTCTAATACTCATGGATGGTTGCAAGTCTGCATGTGTTTAGCCAGGAACCAAGGATCTGTAGTAGGAGTGGTTCTCACTCCATAGTTCAAAGAATGCAAAATAAAATATGTTTGTGGTATACATGGTCTAAACTGCTTTAATTATTTGTCTCTCTTTTACACAGCTGTTCCTCAGTTTACTGTGACCCCTCAAGACCGAAGCGTGATTGAAGGGCAGACTGTCGATTTCCCTTGTGAGGCACAAGGATATCCACAACCAGTCATTGCATGGACTAAAGGAGGTCAGATTTTAGATCACAATAAAACACGAGGCTCAAAAAACGACAGAGTAGTTTATCCCCGCATGGAAATGTTGAAGTGATTTCTCTGATAGAGCAAAGTTGTGAATATTTATTATCCCTGCTGTTGCTATTAGCTTGGTGGGACTGAATCTAACCAAAATATTCACTGTTACTCTGTGAATAAGAGAGAGAGATTGATTAGTAAGAGAGAGTCAGAGGTTTGCATCTCTTTTGAAGTATTTGAAGAACCTTTGGAGTTTTCCTCAGGATAATATTGCTGCCCACTACATTTACTTTATGAGATGAACTGGTTTTCTCCAAGATTATTCCACATGTTCTCTTTATCACACACTTTGCTCCTATCTTCAGGTTAAACATGACAATTTCTGAAATGAATAGAAGAAAAATAAATAAGCTTTTCATTGTGTCTCAGTTTACTAACACATCTACATTATGCTGCTTGCGAAATAGATTTTATTTAAGTACTGTATGTATTGCTTACTTGGCACAGATTCTGGGCAATATATATCCATGTTATTAATTTGATGGCATCAATTTTCAATAAACCTGAATTTCATGCTCATAAGTTGGTAAACTGGAGGATATCGATCCTCTCATTATGCAGATGATACTCTGGCCTAGCTCAGAAGAGTATGAATCTGTCATCCTGGGTAGAAAATATCTCATGCCCAATTATAAAAAAATCCAAAATCATGGCTTGGAGTAAAAATATGAATAGAAAATCTAGATTTCAAAGGATCTGTAAGTTCCTTGAAGTGTAAAGGGAAACACGTTGTATATTTCTGGCAGCATAATGATATTTTAACATTAGACACTTCTTTTTCTTCAGGGGCAGGATGATCCCTGCCAGTCTCTTAAAATATATATATTTTTAAATGTTTAAGCCCAAATGCTTACTTCTGATCTTATAAGGAGTCCAGGTAGGAATCTGTGTCACAAATAATACCATGGAAACAGTACAAATGAAAATTGAAAGCTGTTCTTACTGCCCCAGCATTTACAGCTAATCTCTTACCTGTGGTGGGGATGCCTAAAAATATGTTCTATCTCAGTGATGGCAAACCTTTTATGCACCGAGCGCCCAAAGTGTGTGCATGTGTGGCAGAGACCCAAAACAGAGCTGAGGCGACGGCACACATGCCACAGCGAGGGTTCTGCGTGCCACAGGTTCACCACCACTGTTATATCTCATGATTAGTCATTGGCTGAAGATCCTGTTGTTGTTTTTTCACCCACCTATTACCCGTTGTATTGGGAGAGAACAATTATACAAGCCTTGAGCTCTAGGCTAATTAGAATTACTCAACCGCTTTTGGGATGCACCCCCCCCCCACACACACACACCCTCCACACAACTCAGATGCCTTCATTGATTTATCACTGGTTGATGTGATAACTATCAATCTATATTAAATATGTGCAAATGTATTGTAGGAAAAGTATGTGAGAATGTGTGTATGAGAATGAGAGGGAGGGAAGATGAGAAAGATTGTATTGATAACACCACCTTCATAAAATATTTGAAGGTAAATAGAGGAGGGAGATATTCACTTGGGTTATAACTGTTTTAGATCTATTGGTGACTTGGAGAGGATGGGGAAAAATTCTTATTTTCTCTGCGTTCATCACTTCCAATTGAGATAAGGAGAGAGCTTTGTAGGCCAATCTTCACAAGCTTCCTACCAATCCTTGTGTCTTTGGAGCACTGCAATTAAGCTGTGGCTATTTACAAGGTCAGAAATCTCCACTTGGAGGCAGGTTTCTCTATCTAACCCTGTCTTGAAGCAGGAGTTGTGAAGGTTTAAAAATGCATTTAGAAGTAATAAACAAGTTGGCCAAGAAAACTTCTCCTTGCTATAGCATTAGTGGGATAAATTGTCTGAAAGTAAGGAGAATCCTTTAGGCCATTAGGAAGCTAAACTTGTTGTTCTTAGATCCATAACCTACTTAAAAAATTAACAGGTTTTAGGGGAACTAGTTGCCTTCTGCCTAGTCAGTGATCTTTCTTGATGGAATTAGGTTTGGTGTGTGAACAGTCTTGAATGATTTGGATGCATTATTTATTGGGGCATCGGAATAGAGGACATAATCCCAGGTTGATTTCTCCAGTGATCACATTGCTGACGCCTTTCTCAGAAAGAACTGGAATGTTACCAGGGAAGGTGTTTTCCTCCAATATCCTTGCAGAAAACTTAAACAAAGTCTTCTGAATATTAATAGAACTTTTTCCCCATTACCTCTTGTTTTCTTTCTTTCTCTTTCTTTGTTGCAAACAAAAGAATACGAACATGAGTTTGTCTGTCAGTTGAATATGCGGTTCACGATTTCATTCTAAAAATTCTTCTTTCAGGTAGTCAGCTGTCTGTAGATAGAAGACACTTAGTTTTGTCTTCTGGAACTCTGAGGATTTCCGCAGTGGCCTTACATGATCAAGGACAATATGAATGTCAAGCTGTCAACATTGTAGGATCTCAAAGAGTTGCTGTCCATCTGAATGTACAACCAAGAGGTAAACTTGCATAAGCCAATTTGCATGCTGTTATTTCTTCACAGTTTTGAGTATTTAAGTTTTAAACTGTCTTTAAATGTTTCCTCTTCTTTTGCCAGGGCAGTGATGTAATTCTATTTTAAAAAGTACTTTTAATCTTTGCTTACTGCAGCTTACTTATATTTGCCATACTGTAACTATGTTGATTGAGTGGTGGTTCAGTTGTTTCAAAGATCTAGCAAAGATCTTTTTCTTAATTTGTTGTACAACTAGACTTAGTATCCCACGACTATCACTAAGTGTTGTATTTTATGATTTATGATGAATGTATTTTTATGATGACTATGATCATGATTTATCACATATAGCAGTGATGGTGAATGTTTTTCTGCAGTAAGGTGCAAAAGGGCGCACACGCAATAATGCACGCATGTGTGCCTTTACCCATAATGCAATGCCCTCCCCCCACGTTTCCCCCATGCATGGGCACAGGCCTCGCTGATGTCTCTGGACTTCCGATAGGCCCGTTGGGCTGTTTTTCACCCTCCCCAGGCTTCAGGAAAGCCTCCGAAGGCTGTGGATGCCAAAAAATGGGCCCCATGGGCCTACTGGAAGTTTGGAAATGACCCCCCCATTGCCCTCCGGAAGGCCCAAAATCAGCTGGCCAGTGCACGCCCTGGAGCTGACACGTGCCCTCAAATATAGCTCCACCTGCCAGAGGTTTGCCATCAGGGATTTATAGTTTTTATGTACACTGAGAGCT